GATATATATATATAGGGTGAAAGAATCAGTTTGAGAGAGCAAGTACACAACCACCGTTTGGCGATTATCAACGCGGCAGTGCCACGGAGTCAGCTACGCCGATGTCTATACACAATCAGCATCGGAAGCAACGATTACCTCAACAATTACTTTTTGCAACCTCGTTCTCGAACTAATCGTCTATTTACTCCTAACCAATATGCTCAATCTCTCATTCAACGCTACCGTCTTTATTTGACGGTAAGTATATCTAAAGTTGTTGGATTTGATAATTTGTTTTTCTTTATGGTGCAACCATTAGAATTTGTTGCCTTGTTGGACTCACTTGGGGAGGAGTTTATACGTTGGTCTAAGCCATGGATCAATATTATCCTCGTAACGTAGAATTATCTAACCACTTCTATTTGGTATGGTGTAATGTTTTAGAGGTATTAGAAAATCCGGTGAATGAGTTACTACTGTTGTTTATTTTTGGCAAAAAAAAAGAGAAATTTGTTTGGATAATTGTATATATATGTAGGAATTGTACGTACTAGGAGCGAGGAACGTAGCTTTGTTTGGAATCGGTAAGATTGGGTGTACACCACGGGTTGTTGCTAGCCTCGGTGGTGGTGTTGGTTGTGCTGAACAAGTGAATCAAGCCGCAGAGATCTTCAACAATAACCTCAAAACCCTAATCACGGATTTAAACAACCAACTTTCCGGGGTTAAATTCACTTACGTTGACCTCTTTTCTGGAAATCTAGATTTTGCCGCTCTTGGTACGTCATTTCATTTTCTTATAAGTTCTTAATTAGGCAAACTAGCATACAAAGAACGAACATATTATTTTACCAAGAATTAATGGACATATGTTAGCTTTTGTATATTGTATATATGTATAAGATCTTTTTGAATTTTGTAGGGATTACTGTTGCTGATAGGAGTTGTTGTACGGTTGAACCGGGTGAAGAACTTTGTTTGTTGAATGGACCGGTTTGTCCTGACCGAACCAAATACATATTCTGGGATAACGTGCACACCACAGACTTGATTAATGCAGTTATTGCTAACTCTGCGTTTGACGGTGTTAATACTTCTCCGTTTAGCATATCTCAGCTTGTGAATTAAAGAGCTCTATATCCATAGATTAAAAAAAAAATGAATAGCTCTTTAGTTTATTATTGGTTTCGTCTACGCACATGAAACCATATATTATGTAAACATTATCGACTGAATAATGAATAAAATGATTGCAAAAGTTGACAATAAAAAATAAGGATTGCAATTGAAAAGAAATAAAAGGATGCCTCATTATTAATCATACATGCCTCGCAGTTTGAAAAATTTATAGAATGATGCAAGTATCTAAAGAGATCAATTTAAAGTTAACTACATGCTTTGGAATAAAACGTGCAAAATTCAAATCATTATGTGTCACAAATTAGTTTATAACAATTACATTGAATGTTTCTCACAAAAAGAAAAACAATTACATTGAATGAAGAATTATATTTGGTCAATTACACTAGATCTGGAGGTTAAACCTAAGATTGTGTGAGGTTTCATTGGCTTGCTTGATTTGCTCTAATTGTCCATTTATAAAAAGGTTGCATCCATTTGATGTATAGAATAGATTTTCGTTTGTAATGTCGTTGTATCTTTTAATGAATGCAGATGATATGATATGACCATAATGTTAAGTTTGATAGCTTTTTACTTCAAAATCATTTAGCACTGGATATTTAAACCGAACTGAGGTTGAGTAAATCTGGTTTACATTCGATGGAAGGATTTAAATTAATTTTAAACCGAAGAAGAATATGTATTTAAGAGATCTAACTTCATTTTCTCTGCTCGCCGTCACACTTCTTCACCCGAA